CGTGAGTTTTCCGTTGTCGACTCGTCGCATTTTCAAACTTAAAAGTTCTTTGTTTTACACAACGATGAAATACAAAGGAAATCTATAGCACTGAATAACAAAGGCACATGAGTCGCGCATTTTTTCGATCGTGCGCGCAATACAATCGTATATGCGCGTCTGACTACCCTGAGTCTGAGCGTACGTAATTCGTCTGCGCAGTTAACATATACGCAAGCAGTACTGTAAAATTTTTTCCAGGGAACTCCTGCATATGCAGCCTTCTACTGCAGTAATTATTGACCATTGCTATGCTCATTGGAGGCCTTATACATCAGTTATGTTCCTCCATTGGCACCCAGCACTTAGGTGGAGACTGTTTTCACGAATGGTAAATCCTGGCAACCCAGGCATCAGCCGTCATGTAGTAAGAAGAAAACCTCCCATTGCACTGGAAAATAAAAATTGTAGAAGAAAAGGAACAAAATACCAGGGAAAAGTGAATTTCGTCGTAGTGCATGTTAAAAGAATATCTGACTTCTTAGGATAAGCTCATTCTGGTCCTGGAAACTTTCAAATTTTGCTACATATGCAAAATTACAGGTACTGTTTCATGTTATGCACAGTTGGCGTGGTGCGCGCGTGCAGTGGTTTAGATCTGCATAAGTGTCAAGTGCGCGGTATTGTAGTGGATACTACTAGGGCTTTTTATGAGATTGCCAAGGCGTTTTTGATTGTATCCGTTTACACCCTTCAGTTTGTTAAGGCACTGCAAACTTTATTGTCCGGGTCAAAGCTGTAACACAGTGTACACATGCAGTTTGTAACTTGGATTTTGTTACTTGAACGTTGAAGAGCCTTTGTGGAAGCTACCTTAGAGTTACAATAATCACATGAGCTACCTGACGTTATTAACTTTACCATATACTATCGCTGGCCATACCTGTGGGTAATATGAAGAGAATCCTGTGTTGGGATTGACTATCTAAGCTGCCCCCTTGGGATTGCCCGCTTAGATTCCACACAAGAAAAACACTGCGCCAAGGTGACTTACAAATCTCGGTGATGGAGGTGGAAGAAAAGGGACAGAAGACTGTCAAAACAAAGACATCATGAATGACTCGCGTGGGTTTATTGTGCTACAAACACAGTTGGCTTTCTTTCCGTGCTCCTGAAATAAACAAGTCATTCTTGATTCTTAATAAAGTGAAATCTTTTTGTGTTTTATGGACCTCGAGCTCGTCTTGGTCCAATATTCAGCCATCTTGACCTCATGCTTGGTTAACAAAATACACACACAGACACACACACACACACACACACGCACACGCACACGCACGCACACACACACACATGTATATATATGTATATAATTGCTTAGTCAGTAAACCTTAGTACATGTAGGAGGGTCTCAATGTAGTTAACCGTAAAATGGCAAAAAAAATAGCCGTTAGGCATAAAAATTGAC